TCCAAGGACAGTGACCTTAGGAGAGACAGAGGAGGAGAGACACAGACACTGAGGAGAAGCCACATGGAGACGGAGGCAGAGACGGGAGGGGAGGCAGAGACAGAGGGAGGAGAGATGGGGGGGTATGGGGTCTGCAGCCGGCAGTTACAGGATATTTGTCTAACGCAGGGGGCACCGGTATGGGAGCACCCACCTCTGCTCTTGAGAGGGAGTTAACTACGTTCGTTAATTACAGCGTGGTGGCTCTCCCACCACATCCTGAGTGACTCAGAGGTGAAGGGCAGGTGGGCCTCCTTGGACAACACCAGGCAGGCGACGGCGTCTGGTCTATGGGCCCGGGAGCTTCACCTCGGAGTCCCCGGGCAGTAATGGGAATACGGAGCTGGCACTTGGCGATGCCGGGCTTGGTGAGGGCAGGGAACACCCACCTGTTTGTGTTCGAGGTGCGCGCCCTGGAAGAGAGAAGCAGAGTGTGGGGGCCTGAGCCCGCCCCTAAGAAGGGCCCTCATTTCTTGCGGCAGAAAAATCGAGTATCAAATGCGCGGTCATTGGGGATGAATAATAGAAACAGCACTTCTTCACACACAGATAATTACTAGAGGGAACTAGTCTAACGTATCAATGGACTAAAACACTACCTGGTCTTTAAAGAAAATAAAAGTAAGGGACTTGATCTTTTCTTTGAGCAGTTTTGGGTTAACAGGAAAACTGGGCATAATCACTGAGTGTAAATAATAAATATACAATAATAGATAAATCAGGAAAGAAAAATCATGAATGCAAGAAAATCATGGAGGGTAACCTACCAACTACGTCCAAAATATTTGGTCTTTTTTTCTTTTTGCAATCAATAGAGTTGATGTTTTTTGAGTAGTTTACAGAGAAACTAAATCTAAGCAGGAATTGAGTATAAACAACCCTCATATAAATAAGTAGACATAATGAATAAATATACTAATTGAGTGTAAAAATACCAAAAGGATCTCTAAAGTGCTGTCATTTCCTTTTAGTTTATAGACTGATTTTTTGAGCAGTTTTAGGTTTCTAGAAATATTGAGTATGAAATAGTAATTAAGTGTAATAATGAACAAATAAGATATACAAATAGGTGAATCCAAATAATGGATAAATGTAAGTAAGTAATTGAGTATAAAACACTGATTTAATTGACTCGGAAACATTTTTTTCTTTAAATTAGCAGGTTTTTGGAGAGTTTTTAGAGTTATTGGACAATTAAATATAAGCAGTAATTGAATATAGATATTAAATAGACATAATAAATGTAAGTACGTAACTGAGTACAACATGCTGATTAACTCAAGATATTCAGTCTTTTTGTTTTCATTAGTAGATTCTTTTCAGTACCTTTGGGTTTACAGAAAAGTTAACTATAAATAAATACAGTAAATAAACAGCAACGAACTAGAAGTGAGCAATTAAGTGTAAAATACCACCTAGTTAAGAAATACTGGATGCTTTTAATCTATAGGCTTAAAAATTTTTTTGAGCAGTTTTAGGCTTATGAAAAATTCAGTCAGTGTCCCACAATGAAAGTGTTAAAAAAAAAAAAAACAAAGGAATCAGTAATCAGTAGACGTTAACATGGCACATAAGTAAATAAACATCAGACAAATAGATAGACTAAAAATGCCGGTAATTATAAACCAGGTCCTACTGTATCGCACAGGAAACTATATTCAACGTTTTGTAATAAAGCAACTGGAGAAGACTGTATACATATGCACACATTGTCACCGAACCATTCTGCTGTACACCAGAAACTAATGCAACATTGTAAATCCACTCTACTTCAGTTTAAAAAAATTAAAATTTAAAAAGACTACAGAGCACGGGGAACTATATTCCATTTCTTGTAATAACATATAATGGAAAAGAATTTAAAAAAATATATGTATAACTGAATCGCTTTGCTGTACACCTGAAATTAACACTGTCAACCAATGACACTTTAACAAATTTTTTTTTCAAATTAAAAAAGAAAAAAATGTCAGTAATTGAGTAGAGAATACTGGAAGCTCTGGCCATTTTCATGGAGGACTGTTTTCAAACATACCTGCACATTTTCTCTAATACTTTTTTCCGGCATGCTGTGCATGGAGCAGCCCACACCTTCAAAGCATAAAATCTGCTGGCCTTTGACAAACGTGTGCATGAAACCGGCACATCACTCAAGGTAGGGAGCATTTCCGTCACCCGCCCAATGCCCTCCAGCCCTCCCCAGACGCCTTCCTCCCCGCACCCCGTGCCCCAGACCTCAGGCCTGTCCCTGTAGCACATTCTCAATTTTCCTTCACAATTCTTTTCTTTTAGAACACGTTCAGGTGCACCCACGGGACCATCCAGGCTGGTCCTGGCTCACGAGGGGGAGGAGGGTGCCACTGCACGGCTATATTTTATTCCCCCCTCCCTGGGGTTGAAACTGGGGACCACTATTGTACACAGAGATGCTACAGATATTCACATGCCATCTTTGGGGGGCTGCTGATTTCATGTGACTGGGGTGCAGACCTCACAGGGACTTCATGTCACTGGGAATCCCCAGGTGGCCGGTGAAGCCCTTCGCGCTTTTTCTGTGGGGCTGTTCGTCTGGAGTGCTGACGCGCAAGCGTTCCACCTGCGACGCGCCTGCCGACGCGTCGGGAACCCACCCGAGGAATGTCCTTCCGAAGGCATTCTGACTTCCCGACCGGCGTCAGCCGACGCTTTTGGTTTGGGTGAAGCTAATTTACTGTTCTCTTTCGCACGTTTTCTGCCCCCGCGAAGCCCCAGAGCCCCGGGCATCAGAGCAGCAGCGATGCTCAGGGCGGACGCCGTTTACCTGCTGCATTTCCAGTTCATACTCGAAGTCCTCCCTGAAGTGGCTGCGCACCTGCCACTGGACGATGGAGTAGGTCTGGTTGCACCAGGCGCTCGTGATGGTGGGCGCGGTCAGTCTCTCTAGGGTGGGGCCGGGGGGGGAGAAAAACACACACACACACACTTTTATGAGTGAAACACATCAAAGGGAAAAGAAAAGTTCTCCCTGGAGATACTTTTAAAATCGACCTACAAACTCAGGCTTCCAGAGGTGTCTTCAGGCCCTGCACCCGGCCTCCCTGAGAAAAGCCCTATTGTTTCTCCTCTTGGCCCGTCCAGTCCCCGGACGGAGAAGACTCTGGTCCAGCTGCCCTGTCCCTCCCTCCCTCCGTCCCTCCATCCTCCGTCCACCTCGACCAACTCTGCTCAGCCCCGACCCCCCGGCAGCCTGGCCTGCTCCCGCCCTGTCCAGGGCCAAGCCCTCTCCCACGACCTTGGCCGGCCAGCTCCGCTCCCAAAACGTCACGTGGCAGCTTCTGCCCCAGCCCCGGACTCGGACTGGGACACACCTGCCCCAGACCCCCCTCCAGGGGGGCCCAGCGCTACCCAGGACCCGCCTGCCCCTTCTGTGGGCTGTCCCAGCCCTGTGTCTGCTCAGCATCGCACCTGGACCCGGGCAGGAGGTCCAGGCTCACTGGGGGATGGTCCCCGGGTCTGCTTCCTCCACTCACGTGCGCTCACGTCTCCTGCCACCGCGTCCCCGCCTTCCTGCCGGGCTCTCAGACACCCTCTGCCCCCGCCCCAGGGGCTGCCTGCCGTCACCCCTCAGCCCCTACTGGGAACTGCTCCATGGATGCCCCACGTGGACGGCGGGGCTGGGCAGGGGACGCCCTGAGTCCCAGGCGGAGCCGGACCTGTGGGTCTGCACCTGCTGGGGACAGCTTCGTGTCGGAGAGGCCACAGCTTCAAAGGCACGTCACCTCAAGAGGTGGCAGAGCAGCAAGAGGCCCCCACCTCCTCCCCTTTTGCACCAGCCTCTCAATTTGTGGAGGTGGAGCCGGACCCTTCGCGGGCCTCCCTGCCTCGCGGGGACGGGCTGGTGGGGATGCCGGTTTGAGGTTGGGGGGGTTCTAGTTTCAGGAGAAGGACACCGACATAGCTTTGCTAAGATGGCCCTTGTGTCCCCAAAACCAGTTGGCGTCCTCACGCAGGGCCTGGAGAGGGGCTGTGAGCCTGAGCCCTCCCTTTCCCCCAGCCTCGCGGTGAATCCGGCCCACCCCCCCACCCCCCCCCGGGTCCGGTCCGCAGAGCCATGTGTGCCGTGTGTTCTGGAAGTGCCTCCTCTGGCCCAGTGAACACGTCACAGCTGCTGTGGGCTGAATGTCCGCGCCTCCCCCTGCGCCAAGGCCCTGACCCCCAGGGGGATGGTCTGGGAGGCGGGAACTTCAGGAGGTGGGTAGGGTCAGGTGCGGTCGTGAGGGTGGGGCCCGCAGGGTGGGATTACTGCCCTCAGAAGAGGAGGAAGAGACACAGAGCCGTCCCTCCATCGTGTGAGGACGTGGGGAGGAGGCGGCCTCCGTGAGCCAGGAAGCGAGCCCCACCGGGACCTAACCTGCCCCACCCCGGATCTCGGCCCCCACCTCCAGCGCTGGGAGAAATGAGTGAGTTGTTGAAGCCCCCTCCGCCCCAGTTTGGGGTTTTTTGTCACAGCCACCCCAGCTGACACAGGAGCATCTCAAAGCCGAGGGCGGCCCGTGCAGGACGTGTCTCATCCTTACTCACCAATTTCGTGTAATGTTTTTGTGATTTCAGAGCAGGGGATCGGGGACTCTTGGCTGCTGCCATTGACCGAGAAACGGTTCAGCTCCGGGGACAATACAGAGAGGTCGTCGAACCGACACTCGACGTTTGTCCCCCACTCGTCCCGTCTGTACTGGGAGCACGGCCACTTCTGGAAGGAACTGGGGCGAGGAAGGCAGGGTCACTGCGGCCCTGCGACCGCCCCGGTGCCCGGGAGAGCCCGCGGGGCGCCCGGGCCACACCCTACTGTAGGTTCTCCAGGTACAGGTGGTACTGCGCGTCCCGCGGGGCCTCCCTGCCCACCGCCCAGCTGCACGTCAGCAAGTCCACGTCGTGAACCCAGCAGGTCAGGTTCTCTGCCGCCGCCCTGGCCTTCCCTTCTGGGCTTGCAAAGAAGAGAGGGGAGAAAAAACGGAGTCCCCTTTGAGATCCCTGTGAATTCTCACGCAGTCGTAAGAAACCAGACAGACACGTCTGCGTACTGATTTTACTGTGACGGTTGCATGTCCCCGTAAACATGCAGACGCTTGACACACAGGACCGCTCCATCCCAGCAAGCATTCCCCGCCTGGCCCTTCACACCTTCCTCCAAGCCCGCCGGCCCCCGCCACCAACACAGCCCCCGCCACCACTGCTCTGCTCTGCATTTCTGCACGTGGGCCCCTCTAAGCAGGGGCTGTCCCTGAAGTCACACTGCTACGTCCCAGGAGACCCATCCAAGTTACGAGCCGTCACTCTGATAGTCAGGACACCGAAGGAGGACGGAAAGCCAGCCCCCCGCCCTCCCCCCGCCACCAAACAGCGGTTTCCCCTCACCCAGCTTAGGGTACTGAATCCACCCGGAGAACGGTGGCCCCTGGGTCACACTCACGCTGTAGTTGGTCGCTTGGCACGGGATGTGAGCAAATTTGCAGTAAGTGTTGTTTTGTGCCTAAGACAGAAGGGGGCCATTTATTAAAAAGTGCAGGGGCGGGGCTGTAGGTCGGGGGTAGAGTGCGTGCTTAGCATGCACGGGGTCCTGGCTTCCGTCCCCAGCACCTTCATTTAAAATAACTAACTAAATAAATAATCCTAATTACCATCCCCCCAAAAAGTAGCATAGAGGTGATGTGGGCAATTAATAACTAAGAATATTTGTTGCTTTTAGGAAGAGGGCATAGCTCAGCGGTAGAGCGTGTGCTGAGCATGCACGAGGTCCTGGGTTCCATCCCCAGCACCTCCATTAAAAGAAAATTGATAATAAACAGATCTAATGACCTCCTCCTCCCCAAAAAATATTAAGGGAGGACTTAGAGTATGCAGTACTGAGTCTTCATGTTGTTTCCATTTTGTGAAATGGTATTTGATGCATGAATAATTTACGCAGTTGGAATTTGTGTGAATCGGCTTTTTCTTGAGTTGGCCTCTGCGGTTCAGTTCAGGGTGAATTTTTATGAGGATCATAACCCAGCCTCTTTCCACCTGGACTTCTCTCATACCCTTGGCTCTGACCTCAGGCACGACCTTTGTGGTTTTTGTTTTTTTCTTTCACCTTCTTTTCTGTTTGTTTGTTTTTTAATGTTAAATTTTTTTTTGGATTTTGTTGTTTGTTTGTTTGTGGGTTTTTTTTTGGTTTTTTTTTTAGTTTTTTAAGGGGAGGTAATTAGGTTTATTTGTTCAGCTAGTTCTTTTAGACGGAGGTCCTGGGGCTGGAACCCAGGACCTCATGCGTGCTGGCCATGCATTCTACCACCTGGGCCAGCCCCTCCCCGTCGGTTCTCGTCCACTCTCACTGGCTTCTCCACGATTTTCTCTAAGAATCATCTGCACATAGATACAGTTTTACTTCTCTTTTCTGATAGGTGTTTTTGATAAAAACCGTCTACTTTTAAAAATGTTTCCCTAATTGGTCTGGCTAGACCCACCAGGACAGCGTTGAGTGTCAGTGGGAAGAAAGACATCTTTCCCTTGTCCTTTTGTTTTAACTGAAGTCTGGTTGATTTACAGTGTGGTGCTAGTTTCGGGCATACAGCAGAGTGATTCAGGTACATATATATCTTTTTTCTCAGATCCTTTTCCATCATATGTTATTACAAGATACTGGCTATAATTCCCTGTGCTCTGTGGTAGGTCCCTGTTGTTTATCCACTTTATATAAAGTTGTGTGTCTCTGTTAATCCCAAACTCCCAATTTGTCCGTCAAGATTGGTTGCTGCAGGTACAATTAAGGGTTAATTTTCTAAGCTCCATTAAGATCCCACTGAGGTTTGTTATGAGTTCACTTTTGTCCCCCTGAAAACGCATATATTGAAATCCAACCCCCTACTGGGACTGTCTTTGGAGAAGGACCCTTGAAGGAGGTAATTAAGGCAGGTGAGGTCACAGGGCTTGGGTCCTGGTCCCAGAGGACTGGGGTCCTTGTAAGAAGAGGAGATGAGGACCCAGACACACGCAGAGACACGCCCACGGGAGGACGCAGGGAGGAGCTGGCCGTCCACATACCAAGGGGAGAGGGCGCAGGAGACACCAGCCCTGCTCACACCCTGACCTCAGACTCCAGCGTCCAGGACCGGGAGAGAGAAATTAGTCTACTCTTGAAGTCCCCACCCCATCCCTCCCTTGGTCTGTGGTTCTTTGTTACAACAGCCTGACCAGATGAACACAGGACTGTGGTTTGCACTGTATTTCACGAAGAGCAATTTGAAGATACCAAGGCTCTTGTCAGGGAAGCTGACAGGTGCTTCCTTCTCAGGAAACACTTTCAGTGGCCGGAATCCTCCCTGCGGCTCCTGTCTTGGTTCTCACACCCCGTGAAACCTCCGATACCCTAGGGGGCCTGAGTGGGGAGGCGCTGGCGGGAGTGGTGGGGCCAGTGTTTGCCAGAGGGGCTGGGTTCTCTACCCCGATGTCTCAGGTCCTGTCACCCCTGCCCTCTCCAGTGGGTACCACCTCAGACATCTTCCAAATAAGGAGCCTTCAGCCATGGTGCGTATAAAAGACCCCACAAAAATTCCACAGCTGAGCCCGGTACTAGAACCCAGGTCTCTGTGACTCTGGACATGCACGTGGCCTTCAGGCTTTGCTGGTCTCAGGTCCCTGGAATTGGTGGCCGCGTCTGGTGTGCAAACTCCGGGGAAGATGATTTACCTTATGGACACGTCTTGAATTCACAAAGCACCAAATTTGGGAAACATTTCCGTGGAGGTCCCAGCTCATCCTTTTCCTCTCTGGATCCATCCTTAAGTTCTTAATCACTGGGTGTGGATCTGAAATGTTGATAAGGTTTGTGTTAGGAAAGATACACACGGTGCTTAAGGCAGGGTCCCCACGGGAACCTCTTTTCCCGCCGAGTTAGCCGGCGCCCGGGGCAAGTCCAGTTCTCCACGGACAAGTGGTTGCCAGCAGCTGCCGGAGGGCAGGAATCCATCGCAACTTCTTGATCACACCAGCTCTGCCTCCCAAGGATGGCAGCAATCAGAGGAGCCGCTCACTTGTACTGCCCCTGTCGGTGTGAGGTTTACCATTTTCACTGAGAACCAATTCAGGCTTAAAGAGGTGACTCAAAATCTCCTCCACAGTCTGAGATGTTGCCGTGGTTTGCCAGTCGCAACAGAACGTATGCATTTATACAATATATAAATATATATGAATCACTATCTATAATAGAATACATATTTTCATAAATTATGAGGCACGCTCGTTACACGGCGATATTCATGTTCTAACATAGCTCACACATTGTTTGGCCGGTTCTCAGATTGTCGGGGAAAAGTCACCGGAGGGCGTGCATCTAAATACATTGTGAAGCGTAACCCGAGCAGCTGTCGGTGGGGAAGGAGGTTGGCCTTCACGGACCAAAGGATTCAACGTCTTGGATCAGTGACTGTCCTCACGAAGGAGAAAGAGCTACTTAGTCATGTCGTGGCCAGTAACTTGAAGCTTTCAAGCTCTGTCAGACACTTCAGGTTTTATCTGTCAACCCTCATTTGGACGATTAAGGGAAATGACTGCTTATAAGCCATAAGCACTGTGATCCGTTAAGCCCAACAAGGTTACTTTGATTAAGCAAGACCGAACCACAGGGTTGTCTTCATTCCCGGCATCACTTCCTCCCCACCTAGAAAGATAATTTTTTCCTCAAAAAGTAATTCAGCTAGGGAAACCTCTTAGAAGTGAAAATAGAATTTTTAATGGATGCTTATGCCTCAAAATGTATAGTCTCTTCTTCCAAAACAACAGTAAGTATCATTAAAACAGATCTGACAGATGCCGTAGGAAATATTAGCTTCAGCAGAGTTTTATTACATTTTACTTTATTTTTAATTTTTATAAATTTATAATTTTGTTTTAAATTCTTAATTGCTTTGAATGTTAACAAATTTTAAATACTTTGATCACTTAATATAAATTATAGATCATTATATACAACTATATAGTATAATATATAATTATTGATTATGTATTATGATTATACATGTAAATATGTATGCAGGTAAATGACAGAACAAGAGAGTTTTCTGTCACTAATTATTCCGTGAAGTCTACCTATGTTCTTTCAGATTGGTCACTTTCCAGCCAATTACAGTCATGCTCACAAATAAAAAACTTTACTGGAAAAAAAAAGAAAAGAAAAGGCAAATCTGTAAAGACAAAATGCAACAAAATGAAAGCCAGTACACATAAGCGTGTTTACTGCGATGTACTCATGACCCACCCGTATTCTAACAGAATGTGGGGGTGGTGTTCTCAACCTGAGAGCTTTTAAAAGTCTACAGATGCTGGGACGTACTCTTGTAGTCATGATAAAGTCACGATTCTCAGATTTACCTCTCACCATAAACACCTAAAAAACTGGGCAAAATACATAAATCAACTATTTCCAGATATTGGATAAGAGGCAACACAAGATTCCATAAAGAAAAAAAAAAAAAAAAGACTGGAAAGAAGCTACTTTGGAGCTGCAAACGGGGCAATTCTGAGGGTTTATCTGGAGGTGGGGGGACATTCAAGGTCCACACAGACAAGGTAGAGACTCAACACCCAGAGCAGGTAGCAAAGACCCCAGAAGGACCACAGCTTTGTCATCAGGGAGGAAAGACATAAAGGTGACTCAGCCTGCAAAACATCAAAACAAGATGACCCATCGATAAAGTAACGGCCTGCTGAAACAAAACTCACCGTCTTTAAAGAAGCCCTCAACGGCAGACACTCCGCAACACATCATTTACAATAATCAGCACCCAATAAAAAAAATCACCAGATACCCAGAGAAGCAGGAAGATACTGCCTGTGACCAGAAGACCTATCAGGGCACAGACATCATCCCCAAAATGACAGGTGATGAAATGAACAGAGACGTCTGTTCAAACAGCCATTATAAAATCTGTCCGAAGATTTAAAGGAAAACATGAAAACTATGCACTGAGGAATGGCAGCTCTAGCAGAAGAAGTGAACAGAACTTCCAGAGGTAGAACCTACAATGTCTGGATTGCAGAACCACACGGATAAACACACAGAAACTCTAAGCGACGTCATAGTCAAATGGCTAAAAAAAAAAAAAGAAAGTGGTATCAAGAAGATCTTAAGAACCAACGGAAAAAGACACAACTATCAGAGGACAAAGATAAGAATTTCTGTTGATTTCTCTTTGCAACCAGTGGGACCCAGAAGATAAGAGAATGAGTTCTCTAAATGCTGGAAGAAAACAAAAAACACCGCCGGCAACGTAGAATAGGAACAGGTAAATCTTAGCGATGAATGGACGGGGAACTCGAGACTCTTTATAGTCACAAAAAGTGAAAGAATTTTTTTTTTCCCCAGAAGACTGGGTCTACAAAAAAAGTTAAAGGAAGGGAAAACACACCAACGGAAACTCAGATCCACATGAAGGAATGTGGAGGCAGTTCTGGAGTCACACCATAAGCAGACCAGCACTAGTAAAAACTCAGGCAAAGATATGAATCAGTCTCGTTTTTAATGTCTTAAAAAGAAAATTGTTTAAAGCAACAATGGGAAAGGGTACAGCTCTAGTGGTAGATGCATGCCTGATGTGCACAAGGTCCTGGGTTCAATCCCCAGTACCTGCTGAAAAGAGTAAAATTTAAAAAAAGTTTAAAGTGAACAAATAGCAAAGCGGCAGAATGAAACTCAGTCGTATTAATAATTGCATCACATGCAAATGGTCTAAACGCTCCAAGGAAAAGGAGAGTGTGTCCGACTAGATTAACAGAACTACAAGAAAGATACTTTATCGTTTTTTTGGGGGGGGGAGTGGGAAATTAGGTTTATTTATTTACTTTTTTTAAATGGAGGGACTGGGGATGGAACCCAGGACCTCGTGCATGCTGAGCACATGCTCTGCCGCTGAGCTGCACCCTCCCTGGAAAGATACTTTATTTAAATAGGGTTTAAATGTTACTAATAGGAAAGCATGTTTTATGCAGACTCTGGTCTTACAAAATCTGAGATTGCTTATGTTAATAACATACAAACAATACTTCAGGACGAGGCATATTTCCAAGGGCAAGAAAGGACCGTTTTAAGTGACAAAGTGGCCAATTTGCCCTAATGATATGCTCCCCAAGATGAGTTTCAGAACACGGGACCCCAGCATCACCGCCACCCGCCTCCACCCCTGCTTACTGACAAAGCAAATACTTAGAAAACCTGCCAGCGCTATAGGACCTGAACAAAAACATCCATGATTTGACCTAACTGACACTGTTGGGACGTTCTAACCAGTAACGGGAGGATGGGCATTTTTAGCAAGTACGAATGGATGGTTCACCAAAATAGACGGTGTCCTGGCGCGTGAAGGGTCAGTGCATTTAAGAAGAATTGCACCGAACTTCCCAAACCTAGAGAAGGTATCAGATCTCCAGGTACACGAAGTGCAGAGGGTTCCCCAGCAAGATGAACCCAAACAGACCCACACCAAGACATGCTATCATTAAGATGGCCGAAGTTAAAGGTAAAGAGATGGTTCTAAAGGCAGCAAGGGAAGAGCAAAGCGTTAGTTACAGGGGAACCCCTTTAAGGCCCTGGGACACCTTAATCTCAGACGTCTGGTCTCCACGATTCAGAGAGGATGACGGTCTTTGCTTTCAGCTCCCTGGTTTGTGGTCCTTCATTCCTGCCGCCCCCAGGAAACCACCTCAATTCCCAGGCCTTTAACGTGTGCATTTGGGGGACATCATTCAGCCCAGAACCTGCCAAGGGAACCTTATTGGAAACAGGGTCTCTGCAGATAGGATGACGTGAAGGGTCTGAGAGGAGGTCTTCCTGGAGGAGGTGGCCCTGCATCCAAGGACAGTGACCTCAGAAGAGACAGAAGAGGAGAGACACAGACACAGAGGAGACGCCACGTGGAGATGGAGGCCGAGACGGGAGGGAGGCGGCCACCAGCCCGGGGATGGACGCCTGGAGCCCCCAGAAGCTGGAAGAGGCAGGAGGGACCCTCTCCTGGAGACTCGGGAGGGAGCGCGGCCCTGGGACACCTTGACCTCAGGCGTCTGGTCTCCAGGGCTGGGGGAAATAAATAGCTTTCACGTCAGCCCCCAGACAATGCCATTTTGTTAACCAGCCCAAGGAACCTAAGCCAGCAATCCGAGGAGACTGACACCCCCCCCGCCCCCGCCCACCGGCACCCCGTCTGAATTCCCCTGCCATTTGAGGAAGGAGCAGGCCTCTCACGGGTTATGCAACGCTGTGGCGGTTACTGCGGCTCATGTCGGCCCACCTGCTGTGGTCCCCAGACATCCGTGGTGACGGGGTGGGGGGACCAGTTCCGGTCCTGCTGCAGAACCAGGCAGCCCTGGTGCCCAGAGCCTGGCCCACATCGCACGGTCTGGCAATCGGAGGCGAGGCCGAGGTGGACAGTGTTCAGGGGGCCCCTCTCCGGGGTCTGCTGGCCAGCCAGGGATCCCTGACGGCACTGGGCTTCCCTGTGGACCCTCCCCGGGGCCGCCCGCCCGCCCAGTGGGCGCCGTATCTCCCCTCAGCACCCGGGCCTTTCCGCCTGGTGGGGGGTCCGTTCACTGCTGGGCGCCGCGCAACGTGTGAGCTCTGTACCTGCAGAGCCGAGGGCGTGGCCTCCTCTCCAGGGTACCGGGGAGCAGCTGGCTGGTCTCCCAACCCCATCCCTGTCTGGGATAGTCTCTGCCGGCCGCACCTGTCACCCGAGGTCGGCCGGACACTGACAGTCAGAGGTGGGCACAGTCCGCTGGGGAGTGTTCACTGGTACCCGTCTGCCTCCGTATCCGGCGATCTGTCACTTATGGAATCCTTTCCTGTCCACCATCATTATGACTGCGTATCGTGTGAACCTCCCTAGACCCCAGGGAGGCTTTCCTGTCCACCATCATTATGACTGCTTATCGTGTGAACCTCCCAGACCCCAGGGAGGCCCTGGTGTGTCCCCTTCATAAACCTCCGTCACAGAAGTGAGAAAAAACAGGATGTATGCTCCCACTGGAGAGCCTCTCCAGCTCCCGGGGGTCGCCCCACGCCCTAGGCACCCTCGACCTGTGGCTGCGTCGCCCCAGTCTCCCCTCTGTCATTACACGGCTTCTCCCTGTGCCCAGGTTTCTCCTCTTTAGAAGGACACTGTCATTCTGCTTTAGGACCCACCCGCATGACCTCATTCCAGCCCGAGGACGTATGCAAAGCACACTATTTCCAAAGAAGTCCCATTGGCAGCTTCTCGAGGTTAGGAGGTGAGCACGTGAGTCTGGTGGGGACCCAGCTCAGCCCCGTCACCCCGGTCTTCCCGCCGTCCTCCCCCGACCCAGGAACAGGATGGTGATAAAGCAAGATGAGTGAGGGCTCCCGGCACCCGGGCTCCCCCAGCAGCTCTTCACGTAGCCCCCCGGTTCTGGTGACCGACCCCCCGGCTCTGAGATTGCACCAGTATCGGAAGACCAGCCCGCCGGGTGGGGGCGGCAGAGCGAGGCGAGGGCCACAAGGGAAGCCTCTGCGTCGTCTGCGACGACGAGGCGCGGGATTCTACAGTGACCGCAAGGTGAGCAGTGTGACAGCCGAGGGGCCCACAGACCCCCACGTGGCTTTCCCTCCGGCTTTTCCTACCTTGGTCCGTCTGCAGCAGACAGGAGACGGGCGTCAGGCACACCGCCAGCCAGAGGAAGGCCATGGCGAAGGCAGCTCCCATGGGAGGGCCGGCGGGCAGGCGGGCGGGGTCTGGAAGAGAAGAGAGAGTTACCAGTGGGCGCGGCCATGGGGATGGACAGGGGAGGCGGGAAGGGGGCCGAGCCCTCCAGGGCACGTCGTGCTCGGAAGGCAGGGAGCTGCTTCCAGGAGGGGAGCCCCCTGTACATGTGTGTGCATGTGTACGTACACATGTGCACATATGACACGCATTTATGCCTGTACACTGCATGCATGTGTGTCCACATGCATGTATATGCAAATATTACAAATGCATTTCTGTGTCTGTGTGCACGTGCATGCCTGCCTGCGTGTGCATGCGTGTATCTGGGGGTGTGTGCACACATATGACACGTGTATTGTGTGTCTGTATGTGCACTGCATGTCTGTGTGCACCCGTGTGTGTGCACACGTCACACACGGTTGTGCCTGCATGTCTGTGAGTGCATGTGTGCACATATGTGTGCATGTGTGTGTCTGTGTGCACTTGTGTGTGTGTCAGCCTGTCTCTAAAGAGCCCCAACCCTGGGATCTGAGCACACCCTTGGCCTCAGTCCCACTGTGACCCGGAAAGCACGCTCCACACAGGGCGCCAGGAAACGCTGGGGTCACAAAGCAGGGGAAGGAAGTCCAATTAGAACCATGAAATCAATGCAGACTGAGTTTCCTGAGTGGACGGGATACGGGAACTGAGCTCTGCTGTCTCAGCGTCCCGGCCAGTCTTTCCCCAGGGTCCCCATGGCGCCCCCTCCGCAGGCCAGCTGTCCGGGACCCTCACCTGGCGGGGGGCCACCTTCTGCACCCTCAGAGCTCCAGGCACGGGGTCTCCTGATGGACCCCACCTTTTCCTCCCCAGCCACCTGAGTGGTGTCATGCAAATGCCGTCCACACCTGGGGGCCAGCTCCGGGCTGCCACGCACACAGATCCCACCGCAGCGCCTCGGATGCTCACCTGCCTCGGGGGCCACCCTCTCTGTAGGACCCATGAAAATCGCCCCAAACTGCCCATGCTGGGCCATCTTGCCTGACGCTGGGGAGGGGACGGAGGCTCTCCCTGCCTCATTCAGGGCATTCCCAGCCCCCATCAGGAGTCCCCACCCAGATGGAGCCTCGCCTGCTCCCTCGTCCCATCCCAGAGCTCCCAGGAGATTTCCCAGGACTGACACGATCCCCAGTGAGTGCCAACTTTCCCACCAATCTGACACCAAAGGCTGACACCCAGGGTACTTCTGGCTGAACCGGGGGTCAGGCCCGAGAGACCCTTTTCCTAAAGTCCAGGACTGCCTACCCGTGCGAAGCGTCCAGGGACGGATGTCTTGTGGTCCATTTGTAATACAGGGATTGGAGAAAAAGATCAGAATCGTGCAAAGAGCGGATGAGAGCGGCCTAGCGCTTGTCCTTAATGCACGCAGACAGGCCGGGCGGGCGTCCCGGGGGGCGCGGCTGTGCGTTCCCGGCCCCGCAGGCACGGACGGCTCCAGCGTCCTGACTAGCGCTCACTGCACCCCTAAGGCACCGCTCCTCACGTGCGAGGCTCACGTCCTCTGAAGAACCGGAGCGCATCAGGGCCGTCGTGATATCACACTGCCCCCAGATTATGAAGGGACAGGGGGCGTCTGGACAGAGTCGAGCCCCCAGGGGCTGAGGCTGGGGCTGGGGTCAGCAGAGTAGGGGCGAGCCCAGGGGAATGCCTTCTTGGGCATGAGGACTTCGAGGTCGGCGTGTGTTGCCCCGGACGGCACGTCACAGCGGCCGTGAGCCGCGTTCAAATCCGGGGTGCCCCCCTCTCCGTCCTGGGGCTGGCGGTCAGTACCCCGTCTGCAGGGACAGCAGCCCCGGCCACCTGCCTTCTCCCCCTCCACCCGTCCCGGCTTCTTACCGGGGATGCAGGGCAAAGTCCAGCGGGACAGAGGTGGCCCCCTCCTGGCTCTGGTCCAGCTGGGCTGGGAGTGGACCCCGGGCTCCTCACCCCCTTGCTTGACTGGCTGAGCGGCAGGCAGGCTCTTGAAAGACAAAGAAGCTAGTTTTTCCCTATTAGTGTTTTTATAGCTCCAGCTGCAGCCCCACCCCTGAACTTCACACCCAATGAGGGTGGGACGCGGTGTGTGACCTGGTCAGGGAGTCCTCCACGCCCCCGCCCCCGACTTCGTCCTCGCAGCGCGGGACTAGAATGTGCGGCCACCAGCACGACAGCCACTCCGGGCTCACCCTGCAGGGAGCAGTTTCTCTCGAACGATTCCTCTCCTGTTCTCGCTTCTGTTTGCGGGCCGCTCTTTGCCCCGGTCTTAATGACTGCCCGCGTTTCAGGCAGGCTTGAGCAATTTCCTGGAAAGGTGTTGTGGGTTAATGGGTGGGGTGGCGGTAGGGGTGGGGTGAGCGTGAATGGCCGGGGCCCTGGCCGCCTTCTTCCGAGGTCGGGAAGACCCCCCTCGTGTCCTCGGGGACCGGCAGGTGACCCCGGGTCCCCAATTCGCTGGCTGCCCGGGGCTCACTCAGTCAAGTCCAACCCTCAGCCTTCCCAGCGGCTGTCTGTGACGTCCCCATGCCCGGCCCCTCCAGGGCTCCCTCTGCCCTCCCTCTGCACCCACCCCCTCCCATCCTGCCGCTGCCCACTCTCCCATAGGTACCCCCATCCTCTTCTATCCTGCAATGTTTTGAGGGCTCCCTCTGCCCTCCCTCTGCACCCGCCGCCCCCCGAAATGCATGTCCACCTGGAACCTCTGAACGCGAATTTCTTTACTAACGGGGCTGTCGCAGGTGTAAGGGATTGAGGCACAACTGAGCCCTGCTGGAACAGCCTGGCCCTGACGTCCCAGGGGACTGCTGTCCTTATGAGAAGGTGGCTAAGGACATACAGGGACACAGGGAGGAGACGCCACGTGGAGATGGAGGCAGAGATGGGCGGGAGGCGGCCACCAGCCCAGGGATGGATGCCTGGGGCCCCCAGAAGCTGGAAGAGGCAGGAGGGACCCTCCCCTGGAGCCTCGGGAGGGAGCGCGGCCCTGGGACGACTTGACCTCAGGCATCTGGTCTCCAGGACGCGGGGAGGGTAAGTTTCTGTGGTTTTAAGCCGCCCAGCTTCGGGTCGTTTGTTACGGTCACCCACCTGCCACGGACCACGTGTCTTGGTGGCCGACCAGCCCCACTGGGAGATTAACGCCGTCTCCCCCCACAGGAAGGACCAGACCCCCCTCCCCTCATCCGTCCTCAGGGGTGATGCGCCTGTTACAAAGAATGGACACCTGTCTCCTCCTGGTCCCTTTTAGTCTGGGACGGAAGCAGGGCATTGGTGGGGGGCATCTAGGCGGATCAGAGCCGGGGGCGTGGGGATGGATGACAGAGCTGAGCGATGACAGTCCAGAATGGACTTCGCCCGCGGGGCTGCAGACGGCTGTCCAGCTGGGCCCCAGAAAGCGGACCACTTTCCCCAGGCAATTTCCGCAGAAATGGGGCCTTTTGAGAGGTAAGAAGGCTAAGCTGACCCCAGAGGTCGCCCCGCTGTTACAACATGCACCCGCTTTCCTGCAACTCAGGGCTCTAATTAGGAAGGTGTGGAGAAGTGAGTCAGATGGAGCCGCGGGTATAGACATGAGCTTGCCGGGGTTCCCCAACATTAGCTCCATGTGGGGAGGGGGCTTCTGGTTCCTCCCTCCATCCCTCCCTTCTTCCCTTCCTTCCTTCCTTCCTCTTTCTTTTTTCTCCTAAAAGCCCAAAAATCCTAATAAAAAAGGAACAGACAACAGAAAAGCAGCAGGTAGCCCCCCCTGCCCTGCCCCGCCGGCCACAGGACAGGTGCCGGTCAGCTCAGCAGGCCCAAGGAAGCTGAGCCCTGACTGTCACTGGGCAGAGGCAGCAGAAGTGCCCCAGTGGGTGCAGCACACTTCCCTGCTGACCAGCAGACCTCGGGTGTCTGCACGTGGGGTGACAGCAAGACAAAAGGGGGTCGCTGGTCACAGGGGCCTACTTCATGAAGGCTCTGCCCCCTCCTGCAGCCCCGCCAGCGTCCCTGAACCCCGGGGGGGAAGACGAGGTTTTGTGTCGGGGGTCTCTGGACGGTGGAGGGACCCCGATGAGGCAGAGGATGGTGGCATCGCCCAGAACAGGTGACTGAGGCCCCCGGGCACGTGAATGCTGAGGTCCCTCCCTCCACAGGGTGCAGGACCCTCTCCCTCCTGACCCGTCCCCGTCGCCGGGAGAGCGGGCTCCATCCACACCTGTTTCCTCCAAGCTTCCCCGTCACCTGTTTGGTGCTGGAACATGATCAGACAACCAGAGGACCAGGTTTCAGAAAACCAGGCAGACAACCGGGGAGCCGGGGTGGGACGGCTTCCGCGGTGCGCCCAGAACCCGGGCCCCCAAGGGCAGGGCGCGTACGTGCGGGGAGGGGGCCACGAGGAACAGAAAATGGGGAAACGGGAACGGGGAATGGGTGAGGCCTGCACACGTGCAGCTGAGCCCGGGGGGGGGGAACCGCAGTAACTGACCCTGGACCCGGCGCCCCCCGCACCTGTCGCACAGCCCCTGGGCGGCACGGCCAGCTCGGCCAGTGGGGCAGGCCGGCAGATCCTTCCCCCGCCCCCGGAAGCCCTGGGCCCCCCAGAGGGCAGGGGACAGCTGTTCTGTCACCTAACGGTGCTGCTGCCTGCGGTCAAACAACCTGAGTCCTGCCCCACAGCAGTCGAGGGCTGGGATTGGGACGAATCTTTACGGAACCCATCACACAGTCGTGGAGACCGGTCCCCTTTCCAGGGATGTGAGGGGGTCCCGGGTACCAGGCGTGTTAGATGCAACCACCGCACGCATCCTCACCTGCAGCCCCCCTCCCCGCAGTCCTCCCTGCTGTGCCCGGCGGAGCACCCCCCGCCCCGCCGGCACGACTGCACTCCTGCCTCTACGCCAGACCCCAGTCTCACTGGGAGCTGGCGCCCCTGTGTCCCAGCCACCTCGGGGGTCCTCCCGGGCCTTGGGACCCCCGGGCTCTGTGACAGCAGTGAGAAGTTGCACCCCTGCTGCCAGCATATGCGGTCGGGCCCAGGCCTTGTGCGGGTCTTCTGGGGCGGCCCTAACAAACCCCATAGGCTGGGGGCTTCAAACCACAGGAACCCACCCTCCCCGAGTCCTGGAGACCAGACGTCGGAGGTCAAGGTGTCCCAGGGCCGCGCTCCCTCCCAAGGCCCCAGGGGAGGGTCCTCCCTGCCTCTTACAGCTTCTGGGGGCTCCAGGCGTCCGTCCCTGGGCTGGTGGCCGCCTCCCTCCCGTCTCTGCCTCCGCCTCCACGTGGCGTCTCCTCTGTGTCTGTGTGTCTCCTCTTCTGTCTCTTCTGAGGACGCTGTCCTTGGATGCAGGGCCCCCTCCTCCAGGAGGCCCTCCTCTCAGGTCCTTCACTTGTGCAGAGAACTTATTTCCAAATACGGTCCCCTTCTGGGGCTCCAAGGCACACAAATGTGGAGGACACCACTCAGAGAAGACAGTTACTGACAGCTGCAGGAAGGATGTCCACCCTCCAGTGACCTGGTGAAGAGTCAGTAAGTGCCTGGTGCCTGGAGGCAGCAGCTGTGTGGCCCAGTCTGCGGTTCCCGGAGGAGCCAGAGGGCTCGCCTCACCCGCAGCGCGGCCAGACTGCTGGGCATCTCAGAGCCAGCTCCCCCCGGGGGGACGCGGGTGGGCAGGACGCCCGGCCACCAGGGCCGGAAGCTTCTTTGCCGGGAAAGTTCGTCAGGGAAGCCCCTTATCTCCGGGGAACCCCGCGGGCGACTGTCGGGGTCACCAGGCCCACCTGACCCCGAGGGCAAGGGCAGTCGTGTGCCCGGGGCTGGCCCTGAAGGCCCCAGGGGTGCCTGGGGTCAGCACGGCTGCATCGCTGCTGACCTCAGAGCCCAGGGGCCATCTCGGCCCACGGATTTCACATCTTGCTTTTGCCTTGGGCTCTGGGATGGATGCGACTGTGGGTCCTTCCTACCAGCCCTGGGTCGGGGGAAAGAAAGGACCCCTGGGTGCTGGCTCCTGTGTCCACCGGTGCCTGCAGTCCCGAGGGCAGGGCTGTGGTACCCGGGACTTGCAGGTTGGACTTGCTTCCCTCTGAGATGCACAGATAGTAAACAAGGGGGCACATTTGCAGGGTGGGGTGGGGGCGCTGACTCCATCCCGTTTAATCCATCACAAGACGGCGAAGTCCAGCTGAGGAGTTGGGGGTGGGAGGGGCGGTGGTCAGCTCAGTAATGTTCCCCCACCTTGTCCAAAGCCTAGGAGAAAGGTACCTTCAGGACCAGGGGATGAAGTGAAGGATGAGACGAGGTCCTCCTGGAGGAGGTGGCCCTGCATCCAAGGACAGTGACCTCAGAAGAGACAGAGGAGGAGGGACACAGACACACAGGAGCAGCCACGTGGAGACGGAGGCAGAGACGGGAGGGAGGCGGCCACCAGCCCAGGGATGGACGCCTGGAGCCCCCAGAAGCTGGAAGAGGCAGGAGGGACCCTCCCCTGGAGCCTCTGGAGGGAGCGCGGCCCTGGGACACCTTGACCTCTGACGTCTGGTCTCCAGGACAGGGGAGAATGGATGCCTGTGGTTTTAAACCAGTGCTTTGTGGTTGGTTCAGCTGCCCGGGACTCTCATATAATGCTCTTACGAATACTCCTTCTCTTTCCCTCCTGACACTCCCCACTCACCCCTGCCCCCTCCCTCTGGCCGCCAGAGTCCTGCCCTGGGTCCCCGCCCCCATCCCAGGGAACGAGGCTCAGCCATCCCTCGGGGTCCCCACCCCCCTGGTGTACAGGTGACCCGTCCATCCTGGAACCTACCGGTGGCCGGCACGGGCTTCGGCTAAGCTCCCAGGTTCCGATTTGTAATTGAGACCCACGCATGTCGATCAGAGGACCCCGGGGCCAAGCACACCCAGAGGAGCCGGAGCTGCTGTTCGCAGAGAAGCCCGCCTTCCCGGGCCCAGGCTCTCCCTGGCCGAGCCGGACGCCTTCCCCGAATCTCGGCGGCATCCGCCCTTCCCAGTTATTGGTGGCACCACCCTGACGAGGAGGGGGTTACGACACGACACGGGGTCGCCTTGGGGACACAGGCCCCACAGGCACGGCCACAGCGGGTGTTTTCTTCCCTTTAACA